GGCGGGGCTGCAGGTCCAGATGTGGGGCGGGGCTGCAGGTCCAGATGTGAGGCAGGGGCTGCAGGTCCAGATATGAGGCAGGGGCTGTAGGTCCAGATGTGGGGTAGGGCTGCAGGTCCAGATGTGGGGCAAGGGCTAGAAGTCCAGATGTGCAGGCAGGGACTGCAGGTCCAGATGTGGGGCAGGGACTGCAGGTCCAGATATGCAGGCGGGGACTACAGGTCCAGATGTGGGGCAGGGGCTGCAGGTCCAGATCTGCAGGTAGGGGCTGCAGGTCCAGATGTGGAGCAGGGGCTGTAAGTCAGGGCTGCAGGTCAGATGTGCAGGCAGGGGCTGCAGGTCCAGATGTGGGGCAGCCAGAGCCTCACTGTGGCCCTCAGAGCTGCCGCTGGGGACCTTACAGCTCCCGGCTCCCTGTTGCGAGCCACCTTAGTGCCCAGGTGCGTGAGCCTGACACAGACCTGGTCAGGAAGCTGTGTCTGGCGCCCCATGACCGCGTGTCTGCTTGACCAGAGCCATGGTGTGCAGCCAGAGGAGTGCCGCTCTCTCGCAGTCACCGCGTGTGGGCTTCCTGTCCTCCCTGCTGCCTCAGAGCAAGAAGAGCCCCTCGAGGCTGTCGGCGGCCCAGGCGCCCCCCCAGGCCCAGAGCACCGCCAAGAGAGAGGCCACCGTCAGCCAGGTAAGTGACCATCCTGCCCTTTGTGCTCTGGCCGGGAGGCCTCTGTCGTCACACTGTGGGATGGGGAGCGGGCGCTTCTTCCCAGCTTACAGATGAGGAGAATGACGCTCAGATGTGGTTGCTTAGATGCTATGTCCCAGGTCTCAGGCCCGGCCTCCCGGCCCCAGGCAGGTGCCCTCGTCCCCTGGCCCGCTGTCTCCCTGACCGTGGCCTGACATGCCCACGCCCGCTGGAGAGGGCCTGTGGCACTCTCCAGGTGATGCCATGGGCAGCTGAGGGGAGGAGATGTGCCTCGAGGGCCCCTCCGCTTTTCTCATCTATTTCCCATGAACCCATGAGAGTTTATGACTGTGCTTTGTGACTCAAGAGTGAGTTCAGGCTATCGTGGAATTATGAATTTCCAGGAATATGAAGCCATGAGTGACTGAAGAGTAAATTCTTTTCCGTACAACCTCTGAATCAATGCGTTTCTTCTACAAGTTGTTATTGGCTGATTTCTGCAAAGGGCTTTCACTTTGTTGGAAGCTTGCATGCGAAGCTCATGGCCGCACCAGCTGAGAGTCACACTGAGTGTTTCTCCTGGTGGAGACCGTCAGAACTGCTGCTTCCAGGACTGTTTGCCGGAGTGAAAGTTTAACAGATCCAGAGTTACTCTTTATTGCTCAGGTGGGAGCACTTTCTCTTTCTACGTGTTTTTATTAGTTACAGATACAGTAAGTCACCATGGCCTGTGCCCTCCTGTCCTACCACCCGTGACTTGAGAACAGTTCTGTGTGAGGCAGTGGTTACGGCCTGCTGACTGCCCCAGGGCCTGGAGCGGCCTGGGCTTTTCCAGGGCACTTGGGTTGGGGACTGTTGAACTGGAGAGCCCGGGCAGCATCTTGGATAAGGGCTCAGGGCTCGGAGTGAGGAAGCTTGGTTTGTAGCCCTGACTCCTTGCCTATCATCCTCGCCCAGACTGCTTAAACTCACCCCAATTTGCTTATCTGTAAAACTGGCGTAATAATAGTAGTATTTACTGTTGGTGTTGTTATTAGCTGCTTCCAAGTAGGCCCCTGATTCATTGCAACCCCATGTACAACAGACTATTGTGATCCATAGGGTTTTCATTGGCAGATTTTCAGAAGTAGATCACCAGGGCTTTCTTTCTAGTCTGTCTTAGTCTGAAAGCTCCGCTGAAACCTGTTCAGCATCCTAGCAACACACAAACCCCCACTGACATGCACGTGAGATACACTGGCCGGGAACCGGAGCCAGGTCTCCCGCATGGAAGGCAAGAGTTCTACCACTGAACCGCCACTGCCCTCATTTACTCTCTAAACCAAAAAAACCCTGCTGCTGTCAGGTTGGTTCCAACTCATGGCGACCCCAGGTTTTACAGAGTAGAACCACTCTATAGGGTTTTCTTGGCTGTAATCTTCGCAGAGCAGATTGCCAAGCCTTTCTTCTGTGGTGCCTCTGGGTGGGTTCAAACTGACACCTTTTAGGTTAGTAACGGAGTGCAGACCATTGGCGCCACCCAGGGCTCCCTACAGGAGCACTAAGTGAGCTGATAAAAGTAGAACCCTTGGTAGGTGTGGTGCCTGGCACTCAATAAATTAAGCACTTAATACATTTGAGCAGTAGTTGCTATATTGTGCAGGCGCTTGGCTGTTGGCTTCCGTCCTAAAATGCCATCAGTGCACAATCACTTTCACGCCGGCAGCCATGAGGGCTGAAGCAGGCCAGATCAATCAAGCACAAGTCTTCCTGCGACTGTGCTTTTCAAACTCAAGCCTTAGAATTCCGATCTGTGGAATGTGCCCCAGTAAGTTCTACTGTTTGCTCTCCCGATCTCTCACCGTGCAGCGTTTTATAAGTTAATAAATGATATGTGGAGTGCTGGGTCCCCTGAAATGTGCCTGAGATTATGGAATTTAATTTCGTTAACTTAAAATGAGAGAAAACACAGAAATGGGTTCTTTAGGGTTAAGCCTGTTGCCTTGCTTGCTGTGTTTTCAGGAATTAAGTCTCACATGTGAGGTTGAAATGGGCCTGGCGATTTTCTATGCAGTTCAGGGCCAAGAAATTAGGGTACCAGTGTGTAATCTGCAGAAAGGCATTCCTTACCTTGCCTCTAAAATACATTCAAACGAAGACTGAGTTGCTCTGAGATATCTTAGCAGAGCAAAGGTAGCCCTCTTTCCCATTTCTGAGCAGAGATGCCAGAGGTCTACTGTCTGAAAAACCCATGGTCAGGCCGCTCGTTTTTTTAATTGATGGTAGATTAATTAGACGTAACATAGATGTTTCCATTCTAAAAATAACTAGTAGATTTGAGGTTCAGGAAAATCAGAGAACTTAAGAGTTGGAAAGGAGCTTAAAAGTCATCTGGCCCACCCTCCTACTGAGTGTCAGAGCCCATGGCCCACCCTCCTACTGAGTGTCAGAGCCCATTCTCTGGATTGGTTGCCCCCTGTGACACGGAGCTCACTGCCTGCGAAGGTTGGACCGTGTACTTGTTAGAAAGCTACGAGTAGAAACCACTTTATAATTTTTACTCCCTGACCTTAGCTTTGCCCTCTGGAACTACATAGATTAAGGCTTTCTTGTATAGGACAGCAATTCCTCTTTTTCCATGCTAAGCACCGCACCCTCCCCCACCCCGCAACTGTTTACCCATATAACACAATTTCTAGACCTCTCATCATCCTGGGATGGGGTCCCTGGGTGGTGCAAATTATTTGCGCTTGATCTCTAACCTAAAGGTTGACAGTTTGAACCCATCGTGTATTGCCACTGTAGAAAGGCCTGGCAATCTGCTTCCATAAAGATTACAGCCAAGAAAACTCTATGGAGCAGTTCTACTGTGTAACACATGGGGTCATCATGAGTCGGAATCAACTTGCTCACAATGGGTCCCCCTCCTCCGGGGAGACATTTTAATTTTTCAGTCCCTTTATTGTTATTGATGAGCCCTGGTGGCGTAGTGGTTAAGCGCTCGGCTGTTAACTGAAAGATTGGTGGTTTGAACCCACCAGCCGCTCTGCAGGAGAAAGATGTGGCCGGCAGTCTGCTTCTGTAAAGATTTACAGCCTTGGAAACCCTATAGGGCAGTTCTACTCTGTCCTGTAGGGTCACTCTTGAGTCGGAAGCAGCTCGGCGACCATGGATTTAGGTTTTTTCTTTATCATCCATTTTTTTTTACTACACATTTGAGTGTAGCATTCTAAATGCTCTCTCACCAATACTGAGTGCAGTTAATTGTATGATCACTTCCCGTGGTTTTGATGACATATGGCTTTTCACATAAAATGACATTGCCTTTTTAGTAAGCCACATTGTTTTGTTAGCTCCTAGGAAGCATGTAGTCAGTCCTTTTCACACTACTACCAAGCCAGAGTGCCCTCTTCTTTTTTACCACTAAAGAATAAGCAAACCGAAAGGCATAAACTGTATTTTATTGCTAAACCAGCAGTACGTATAACGATTAGGCTTTCGTAAGTTAAATGCTGTTGATATCTGACATTGTAAGTTTCACTCATACCAGCATTTTGCTGGCTGGTGATTGATGGCTGTAACTGTTGTGTTCTTAGCATTATTATTAACTGAAATGTTCACAGCATTATTTTGCAAAAGAGATGGCGGCACACCCTCCCAGCTTTCATTACGAATCTGAAGGCAAAAGTAAAAAAAAAAGGGCAGTAACTGCAGAACCACAGTTGGCAGCTCTCCTGGCATCTCCGATGGCCATGGCTATGAAGGGCATATCAGTCCCGGGCACCCGAGTGCTGCTGGGTTCACAGAGCCCGCGTTTGTCCTCCATCCCCCTCCAGCTGTAGTTCACACCCACTCAGTAAGCACAGGAGACCCGGAATTACATTATTATAGAGATAACCTTTAATTGGCTGTAATGTGAAGAAAGCAAAGCACCCACAGACTCCCGTACTTGTCACTGTTATTAGTATCAGTTACCTCCTAACTGGAGACGTCAGTGGTAAGAACAGCTGCCCCTGGGCTCTTCCTGGGGATCTCGCTCGCTCGGCAGGATGGGAGAAGGGAGCCTAGTCCTGTCTTGCACACTGTAATGTCTGTGTTGTGAGGGCCTGTCTTCTGGGTGGCTTGGCTTGGCTTCAGGTGAGGCCAGGCTTCTGGAACAGGTCCCTGCCCCATTGTGATGACTGCCTGTCATGCCTGGGAGGCTTTGGAGTCCCTCCTGATCTACTCAGGACCCCCACATGAACTGGGGTCCAGTTATTCCCTCCTCCATAGTGAGCAGTAAGAGGATAAACGATAAAACCTAAGGTAAACTGTCTCTCCTAAGCTGTAGGAGGCAGATGGTGATAGGACGGGATGGAATATAACTTAGTTTTGGGATTCCTCAGCTGAGCTGCTTGTCGTCTGGATCTGTAGATGTAGGAGGCATCAGTGGATTTACGGAACGTGGTGGCGGCATGGGTCACATTGCAGGGCGTGGGCACCCTGAGGAGCGCCGTGGGACCTCGGGGCTCAGTTGTTGTCTTGATGACCTCTCACTTCTGGGAAGGTAGAAGTCCTTCGCTTTCTAATACTGTGGGACCTGCCAAGTGCTCCGTGGACGCTGGGATGATTCTCCAGAATGGCCAGAAGCACTGTGAGAAGGGCTTTGTCTTGCTTCTCCAGTAAAACCTGCAAAAGCCGGAACGTGTGTAACGCAGAAACCTGTCAGAGAAGGAAAACTCAAATATTTCCCACTAAAACGAGCGGTAGGAAAGTGGTAAGACTGTGCGCTGTCAAAGGTGGAAAACTTGTGAGACCTGGAAAAACTAGGCCGTCCCATTGAGACCTACCTCTCACAGGTTTCACCGTCTTATTTAGCTCCAGAATTGTGGCATTTCTTCTTTTCTACTCAGTGTCACTTTCTTCCACGTGCCCACTTCAAGGTCTTGCTTCACTCGAGTTTCTCTGAGTGTGGACTTCGCTGTCAGGCCTGGGTGTGAGGCCAGTTCGGTCCTGTCCTAGCTGTGTAGGGCAAGTAACCTCTCCCAGCCTCAGTTTCCACATGTTAAAATAATATCATCTTTAGGGCAGTGTTTGTAAAGTTCTCAGCATACCAGTTGACACAGTCAATTCTGACTCGTGGTGTGTCAGAGTAGAACTGCGCTTCACAGGGTTTTCTGTGGCTGATTTTTTAGAAGTAAATCGCCAGACCTTTGGTATTATGTTGTTATTATTATTAATAATATTATGACTGGTTTTCTTCTTAGACTATTTATTTTATCTTCCCTAAGAACATTGCTCCTCCTAAAATAAGCCAGGATTGAGAAGCAGGTGCTTTCTGTAGAAGAAACATTTGCTGTAAGCATAAGTGGAAATCACTGGAGGTCACCTTAGGGAGCAAAAACAGCAAATACCCTGTAGATCAGCCACAGTTAGTCTCCAGGTAAACTAATAGTCCTTTAAAGTTTCCTTCCTTAGCTGTTTCACATGGCTCCAGGGTTCCAAGGAATCCATGTTAATTGTTTTAAAGCCTTTTATGTAAAGGTAAAATATAACAAGTAGAAGAACTAGCAAGCAACATGTAGCCTTTGGTCCAGTTTATTGTCTTGATTGAGGCCTTCTGGGTGAATGGCTTGGGAGGAGGCTAGTCTCAGTCCTGAGTGGCTCCTTGCATCCATATCCCTTTGCTAAGAGTGTTAACAAAAATGGGGGTGGGATGGGGTGGGACGGTCGTCAGTCTCTGGGGATATGGCTGGAAAAAGAGATCCCAGGCAGATAATCTGGGAAGAGGGTGAGGTGGCAGCTCCTTTTGAAAAGGCCCTTCATTAAAGATGGAGGCTTCTCTCTATGGGGCTGGGGTGGGGACTGAATTCACTCCTTGTTGCTATAACCTTGGTTAAGTCTATCACTCTTATTATGAAAAGGAGCCATAAAATGCTAAATTCTTTCCTGTCCAGTTTATCATAATCAAAGGTCCTGGGGTTTCCAACAATTGCTAGTAAAAATTCTGGCTGCCTAGTAATCGTTTTCAAACAAATAGCTCAGTGTTTGTTAACATTAGCTGGCTTAGTCCTACACTTGGCTGAGAGCAGGAGAGACCAAGAGCACAGACAGGTGACTGGTTTTTTCCACTGCCCAAACATATGGTTGCTTATAAACATTTATAACACCCGTGTAGGGCCTGTCCTGCCTCGTAACCGCTGCTTAGTAAACGTTGATCTCCTCCCCTTAACTAAAGTCACTGTCCTGTGTAGATCAAGGGTAGATATGTCCAGGTGAGAGGAGAGAATGGAGAGGAGGTGGTGGTGGTTTTGTTCATGGCTTTGCCTACCTGGCTGAGATGGTCACGTTGTAACCACCTGCTCGCCGCTGCATGGGCAGACCTTTACTCCGAGCTGTTGGGGAGAAGGTGCTCCTTGGCTCTTGACCCCCTCGTGGGCACAGGCTTCCCCACCCTGTTTCTTGTCCTCCAGGCTGCCAAGGGCAAGGATCCGGCATCTGGGGCCAAGGACGGGAAGGGCCTCTTCAGTGGGCTGGCGGCCGGGGAGTCCAGCTGGCCGCAGTACCGGCAGCGGCGCCTGCAGGACCATGGCAAGGAGCGCAAGGAGCTGTTATCAACCACCACATCCCAGGTAGGGCAGCCTCAGGGATGAGGGAGTGCCAGGACACCCGCTCCCCAGCTTGGGGAGCAGCGCAGAGCATGAGGACACATTGAGGTTGGGTGGCCCCAGCGTGCCTCTCTCCTGGTTCCTGGCCTGTCCCCCTAGTTTGGCGCAGAGTGCGTTTTTGCCCAGGTGGTGTCAGTGGCTTGTACATTGATTCTTTAGGCTCATATTTGCCTGGCTCCACTGGGGCCCCTTTTCCCGAAGCAGCATTTCCCTGAGTAGGGGCCCCACAGTGCCAGCCCTGGACATGTTCCCAGGAAGTGAACATACTCCCACGAAGTGGGTTAGCAGTGCATGTCAGCATATCATGGCTCGATGAGACTTGGCAGAGAGAAGCCTGTTTTCCATGGCTCGCCCCAGAAAGTCCAGGACCTCCTTCCAGGGCCACCTGCCAATGTCCTGAGGCTCTGCAGGCATGGCTTGAGGCCGCATGCCCATGGTGGGAGGCCGCCGCCCAGGCTCTGAGGCCTCCTTTCGCTCCTTCACACCAGTTTGGGCCTGCTTTTCCTGGCAGTCTGCGCTGTTCCTGATTCTGTCAGGTACTCCGACTGAAGGTAACAGTCCAAGGGGTGTACTAGTTTTCCTGCCCAAGTCACCTTGACCGTTTTCCTCCTCACTGGGGCTCTTTGCTGATTTCAAGAGCTTTTTAGCCACGTAACACCCCTGTAGAGTTTCTAGTCAGATGGCCACAAGCCTCTAAGACTCATCCTACAGGCTGATAGAGATGGATAGAGATGCACCTGGAGCCCACCCCCCGTGGACACCTGTGCTGAGATTGCAGGTCTCTGTTCTTTGCTGCTCTTGAACAACTCTCCCAGCTGCCCAGGGGCCTTAGGGAGCATCCGGACCCCCAGGTGTAGTGTGGGCCCCAGTGCACTCCCTGGGCTGGTGTGGGGCTGGCTGAGCGTGCAGTGGGTGTGAGGGCCAACGCCGATCACAGAAGGAGGCACCCCACCTCAGATGCCCTGGTGGCAGCAGAGTTGGGGTGTCCTCATGCTTGGCTGGCCATGGCTTAGCGTCCCCCTGGCTGTCCGTGGTCTCTGGGTCTCCTCCTGCCCGGGTGAGTGCTGCACAGGTGGGGCCGGGCTCACATCCCGGGTGACTTGCCCCTTGCAGGCTGCGTGGCAGAGCGCAGAGAAGAAGCCAGAGATGGGCGGCACGGAGACTGAGCCGGGCCCGGAGCCAGTGGAGGTGCCCATGCGGGGCCCTGAGGGCAGCCGCCCCGAACAGCCCTTCATCGTCCTGGGCCAGGAGGAGTACGGGGAGCACCACTCGTCCATCATGCACTGCAGGTGTGCGGAGGGGGCAGGGAGGGGCAGGGGGTGGGAGGAGGATGGGGAACACTGCTTGTCCATCATGCACTGCAGGTGTGCGGAGGGGGTGGGGAGCGGGCTGTGGGGAGGGGCAGGGGTGGTGGGGATGGGAGGAGGATGGGGAGCATCACTCGTCCATCATGCACTGCAGGTGCACAGATGGGGCATCGGGGGAGCGGGGAGAGGTGGGGAGGGGGCACGGGTGGGGTGGGGCGGTCGCTGAGGGTGGGACAGTGCCATCTGGTGGCCCTGCGCAGAGCAACTGTGGCTGCTCAGCCTCTGTCCTTGCCAGTCCTGTGACTGCGTTTTAGCAGTGAGTTACCTATTATTTCCCCTGCTGAGACTCACTCCTGATTTTTACTTGCTTTATGTTGGCACTTTTTCGTACATCTTTACCACTGATGAGCCTTTTGAGAGCAAACGCCCACCGAGTTTGATTTTGAGAGGACAGATGGGCGGGCCTCTTGTTTGGACAGGCTGGATGGGCGCTGGGCCTTCGCCTTGTTCCTGAAGGACAATCCCAAACCAAGAGAACCAAACCAGTTGCTGTCCAGTCGATTCTGACTCACGGCAACCCCACCTGTGCAGAGTAGAACTGCTCCATAGGGTTTTCATGGCTGAGACCTTTCAGAAGCAGACCGCTAGGCCTTCTTCCAGGACACATTAATTGTTTGTGCCAACCAGGCTGCCTATGAGATAGAGAGGCTCGAAATCTCAATAGGCTGCAAGGACCACGAGGGCCGGGCCGGGTGCCAGCTATTCCACATCCAGTGTTTATTTAGCACAGGGCTCAGCACACCATCGGTGCCTAAAAATTCTTTCCTGGACCATGGAGGGGTGTATGTTTCCAGAAATGTCCTGTGTCCTACCTGTGAGTGCAGACGTCTGGGGATGATGTTTTAAAGCCATCGGAGAGGCAGACACGTGGTCATCTCAGCACTGACTGGTGGATGCGGGATGAGGGAGGGATGCTGATGTCCCGTCTCTTCTCCCCTAGAGTGGACTGCTCGGGGAGGAGGGTGGCCAGCTTAGATGTGGATGGGGTCATCAAGGTATGGTCCTTCAACCCCATCATGCAGACCAAAGCATCCTCCATCTCCAAGTCTCCGCTGCTGTCTTTGGAATGGGCCACCAAGCGAGACAGACTGGTGAGTGGTGTTGGCCTGCGGGGCTTGCTGGGCCGTCCAAGGTGAAGAATTCTCCTGGCCCGTCACTGGTCCCTCTGGCACTTGGGAGCCCTACAGGGGGTAGTCTGAGGTGGAGGATTTTCCAGGCCTGTCACTGGTCGCTCTGGCACTTGGGAGCCCTACAGGGGGTAGTCTGAGGTGGAGGATTTTCCAGGCCTGTCACTGGTCACTCTGGAACTTAGGAGTCCTGCAGTAGGTAGTCTGAGTGGAGCATTCTCCAGGCCCCGTCACCAGTCGCTCTGGCACCCTGGGGAGCCCTGCAGGCCTCTGTGGTGCTGAGTAGAGGCAGCTGAGCTGAATCTCCTCCTTCTCTCCCTCACTGGGGGCCAGGCTCCAGGCCAACCCAGTGGGCTCCTTCTTTGGGGCAGCAGTGCAGTTACCAAGGCTGGATTCAGAAGAACCATTAGGCTGTCCGATGTGGTCCCCCCCATGTAGTCCGGCTGTTTGGTCTGCCTGGGGAAGAACGTCTTGCTGTCCCTCATAGCCTCGTCATCTGTCCCAGCATGGGCATCCTCAGTGTGCTCCCCTCCACTGCTGAGACCCCTCCCTGTGCCAGGCCTGGGGGGAGGGGCTTGAGCCAGTGTCAAAGGTGGTGACCTGTCTGTGATGCCCACGGGTCAGCTTGCCCCTAGCAATAGTATAGTGCTCTTTTTGCCTCTGGACTTTAATATTTGCAATAGGATTTGTACTTAAGGAGGTAAAAATTAGTTTATAGTTTTTCTTTCATTTTGTTCCATTTTCCGAGGATCACACCATGTAGCCCAGGGGTAGACCCTGCTTGTCTGTCACTTTTGACAGCTGAAGGAGTTATCCTGCTGGTGTTAGTGTCACCATCGCTAGTGTCCATTTAAAAACTCGTTGCCGTCCAGTCGATTCCAACTCACAGTGACCCTATAGGACAGAGTAGAACTGCCCCATAGGGTTTCCAAGGAGTGGCTGGTGGATTCGAACTGCCAACCTTTTTATTTATTTATTTATTTTTAATTTTTTCCCATACAAAAATTTATGCATACATTGTTATGTGACCCTAATTGCTCTCCCCATACTGTGACAGCACACTCCTCCTTTCCACCCTGGATTCCCCATGTCCTTTCAACCAGTTCCTAACCCTCTCTGTCTTCGCATCTCACCTCCGGACAGAAGCTGCCCATTTAGACTCTTGTATCTACTTGAGCTAAGAGGCACACTCCGCGCGAGTTTCACTTTTTAGCCCACAGTCCAGTCCAATCCTTGTCTGAAGAGTTGGCCTCGGAAATTGTTCTAGTTCTGAGTTGGTAGAGAATCCAGGGGCCATGTTTTCCAGGGTTTCTCCAGTCTCAGTCAGACCATTAAGTCTGGTCTTCTTACTAGAATTTGAATTCTGCACCCCACCTTTCTCCTGCTCCATCCGGGATTCTCTGTTGTGTTCCCTGTCAGGGCAGTCATTGGTGGTAGCCGGGTACCATCTAGTTCTCCTGGTCTCAGGCTGATGCAGTCTCTGGTTTATGTGGCCCTTTCTGTCTCTTGGGCTAATAGTTTCCTTGTGTCTTTGGTGTTCTTCATTCTCCTTTACTCCAGGTGGTTGGGACCAATTGAGGCATCTTAGATGGCCGCTTGCAAGCTTTTAAGACCCCAGATGCCCCTCACCAAAGTAGGATGAACTGCCGACCTTTTGATTAGCAGCCATAGCACTTAACCGCTACACCTCCAGGGCCCCTATCACTTGTGTATCAGTGTTAATTGGCCAAGCGAATGCTTGATTGTAATCTAGCTTCTAGGCCTGGGGGATTCCCTCAGACCTGGGCTGCTTCTGGTGCGTTCTTCTTGTATTTGTTATTATCTTGGAAGCTTTTCACCAGGTAGAGCACAGGTTTCTGAAGGCAAGGATGGCTTCTTCTGTGTTTTCTGGACGCCTTTACAAGCTCATAGCCAGAGCTGTGTACAGAACCTGCAGTGGGACCATCACCTGGGCCCAGTGAAGTGGTGGTGGGTGGATCCACAGTGAACAGCTCAGAAAGGAAGGGTTGGAACAGCAGGGATTTAAAATGGAAAGAAATGGGGTAGAGGTGGGGGAATAAAATGAGAGGGTCCCATTTAATCAGCCAGAACATTTCCAGGTAATGCTGGGATGATGCCTCTCTCCCCAGATGCCTACTGTGGTTTGTGTTTCTGTTCAGGGTCTGTCCTGATGTCCATGTTTGATCTCCAGGGAAGGCCATTTTACCCAGGTCTCACTTCAGACCTGGATTAGTGAGGACGGCCCCGCTCCCCTCACGGTGGTCCTGTCTCACGCCAAGCATCCCACCCCTCTCTTTCAGCTTCTACTGGGCAGTGGTGTGGGTACGGTGCGCCTTTACGACACAGAAGCCAAGAAGAATCTCTGTGAGATCAACATCAACGACGACATGCCCAGGTGGGTGGAGCCTGCCCCACTCCTCTGAGGCTGCGGCTGTGTGCTGGGGGGCATGGCCCTCCCTGGCCCCTTCGCCCAGCCCCTGAGCAGGAGCCAGTCCCAGAGCCGAGCACATCCCCTCTCTGGATGGATTGTGCCTGATCCAGCCCACCTGTGTTGCAGAATCCTGTCTCTCGCCTGCAGCCCCAATGGGGCCTCTTTCGTCTGCTCGGCTGCGGCCCCGAGTCTCACCTCCCAGGTGGACATGTCGGCTCCAGACATAGGCAGCAGGGGTGTGAACCAGGTCCCCGGCAAGCTGCTGCTGTGGGACACGAAGACCATGAAGCAGCAGGTAGGGCCTGCTTGTCTCAGACACTGTCTTCTCCAGTGCTGCCGCCTTTGTTCTTTATTCAAGTCTTGGAAGTTCTTAGTCATTATCTTTTCCAGTATTGTTGCCATCTGATTATCTCTTGCTTTGTGAAACTTGAGTTAGATATATCCTAGAGCTTCTCATGTTCTCTTTTTTGTCTTACTTTGCTGCATATTCTTGGTGATAATCTCTTCAGGTCTGTCTTTCAGTTTGCTAATCCTCTCTTCCACTGTATCTAGTCTTCTATTGAACCTATCCATTAGGATGTTAATTTCAGATACTGTATTTTTCATGTTAAGAAGCTGTGCTTTTTTTCAGACTTGCTTTTTTTAAATCTGTTTTTTCAAACCTGCTTTGTCATGTTTATATTGTCCCGTTTGTAACCATATTTTCAATTCCTTATTTTATTCCTTTGAACGTATTCGTTGTTGTTGTTGTTAGTTGCTGTCAAGTCAGTTCTGCCTCACAGTAACCCCATGTGTGCAGAGTAGAACTGTTCCATAGGGTTTCCAAGGCCATGACCTTCTGGAAGCAGATCTCCAGGCCTTCCTCTGAGGCACCTCTGGGTGGGTTTGAACTGCCGACCTTTCGGCTAGTAGTCAAGTGCTTAACTGTTTGTGCTACCCAGGGATTATGTATCTGTCTGATAATTCCAACATGTGAAGTCGTTGTGCATCTGCTTCAGTTCTCTGCTGTTTCTGTGGGTATGTTTTTGAGTTTTTTCCCCTGGTTTCCCTGTGTCTTATAAAATTTGATTATGGTTTCATATTCCTTGGACCTTTATCTTTGGGAACATTTTGAGACTTTGGAGAAGATTTTCAGTTACTTTTTCCAGGTACCTGAGGGCACTACCACCTCCCAACAACTTTAAAATAAACTCTCTGCTTGAGGTTTCTCAAACCACATAGTGATTGACTTTGGGGTATAAACCCACATGAGGGCCAGCTTGTGGGTCTAAGTTCTCAGAGGGCTCCAGGGGTCACAGAGGCGAGTGTCCTTGGTGTCCCTAGTGTGAAGTGGGTTTATTTCCAGTTTATTCTGACACTGAGGGCATAGACTTTGGACTCTTGGGTTTATGTAGCGATTTCTTATTAGACATCTCACCTTGTATGGGTCTGATGCTGTGTCTGCAGGCCCTTGACCTCTTCGTGGCTGTCAGAGTAGACACCTGGTGCCCCAGAGTGAACACCAGAATTCGCTAATACTCGGTTCCCCAGAGTGAACACCAGAATTCACTAATAATCGGTTCCCCAGAGTGAACACCAGAATT